ACTCCTACGATAAAAATAATGCCCTAAAATATAATACTTTTAGACTATTCTCTCCCCCATAGACTTCAATGCCATAAACATATTTCATCCAGTTTTTTTAACACAATATAATCTTACAAAGTTCTTATAAAGTACTAAAGGAGAGAGTCCACTCGGACTCCCACTCATTTGCTCATACCTGTCTCCTAAAGAGGAGATTTATCCCCTTACTCTGCTCTTTTGCTCAGCCCTTTCCGCCATTCTCAGGATGGGGCTCTCTATTCACTTCCCTCCATACCAGCTGTGGGACATTGTGGAACTCTGTTCATTTTCCTCTCCAACCAAAATATCTATAGCTAGAGGAGTAATTCCCAACTCCTTCACTCCAACACAGATGCCCTTTCTCAATCCAATCCCCTCCATCCATCTGCTGTCTGAACCTAATCTCACCACTGAGTCCTAGTGCACTCTGAAGTCCCCATATCCCATGCTCTCATGCCTGGTTTCTGAAGGGGAAAAAAGCTCCCCCTCTAACTAACCCAGGCTCAATTCCAGGTAATGCACCTCATTATACAGCCACCAACTCTGTCTTTTGGAGGCCTGACAGTTCCTGTGAGGCTAAAAAGGTTTCAGCAGAGCTCAGAGCCTAAAATGGATTATGAAGAAAGGTCTGGCTTACTTAAAAAAAAATAAAATTAACCAACAAAACCCCCATGGGTCACAACATCCTGTCCCCAGACAATCATTGGATGGGATGGTGCTGGACCAGACAGGACAGGAGGTTGCCACCTCAACGGCAACTGTTAACAATGGTCCTTAAGGCCCAATTCTGATGCCAGCCCCACTTGTTATTTCCCAGCCTCTCTGAATCAGCAATAACCACACTGGGCTGGGAAAGCACCTCTCTAGACTCTTTCCCAGCCCTGCTCAACTGCAGCTTCTCAGAGGCAGGCACAGATCACAATGCGAGCACCTCGTGCAGGCAACCTTTTTGAGTTCTCACTCACCCTACGGTTCCGGTTATGATCCATGGTCTTGAGGTGCTTCTGGATGATCCCAAATTGCATGGGGATAAAGAGATCACAGGCCGCACAGTGAGCTGCCTCCACCTTCTTTACAAAATGTTCCATAGCAATTTCTGTAGGAAGGAAAAGACAGTCTCCTCTGGCCAAGTGCCTATGACAGGCCCAGGAGTCTGGGTGAAGACGCAGATTAGCTCCCTGGCCCTCACCCTACAGCTTCCAAGTGGCCTGAGGGAGTTCCACTGACAGCTTTGTCCCTGGAAATCGAGGGCAGGCTGGGCTCTGTCCTGAGAACCAGAAGAGGTCTGTCTGACAAGCAATGGTGGAACCTTCTTACCTTGGGTCAGATCCTGGTCTCTGTAGAACTGCTGGATCAGACCATTAAGGTCTTCTATAGTTTTCCGAAGCTCCTCTGTCTTCTTGGTCTTGTTGGTGACATACTCCTGCCAGAGACATCAGAGGTTTATGGGGACTGTTCTGCATTCTAGGGCCCCAGGAAGCTAAGAGTAACCTCAGGGTTCACCTGCAAGAAGTCAGCCGTCTGTTTTGGAAGCTTGGTGCCAACAAACTTGAAATGTTCCTTGTGGAACTTGCTGTCCAGATGGTTGGCCATCTCATCTTCATAAATGGTACGGTATTTGCAGAGAGAACAAACAAACTGGATCCTGCCACAGGAGGGAGATGAGGGCTGAGGCTATGAGGGTCTCAGGCAGTGGTGCTGTTGTCTCACCCAACCCAGATGTGGGCCCTGAGACAGGCCCTGCTCATGGGCTTCCTGAGGTGTGGCCCCGCAGGGGGGTAGGCTGGGGCTAGGGCTTGGGAGTAGAAAGGCAACGTGGGGCCAGGGGAAGAAGCTCTTCCTTCCTACAGGCAGAAGGCCAGGCCCAAGGCAGCAGCTGCTGCAACAGGCAGTCAGTCGATGGACGGCTGCGGAGGCCTTCACTGCCCACGCCAGGCAGGAGCACGTGCACTCGGCCCAGCTGGGGACCAGAAGGCAGGCTGCCCTGGCTCACGCCAGGTGGCCTGAGGTGTGGAATGGAGTGCGCAGTCCTGAGGCAGGGCCTGAAAAGGTGCTGCAGCTTCCTTCAGGGGCCTGGGGGACTCAGAGGCCCAGCCTGTTCTCGCTCAGAACGCTCAGGGGTGGTGTCGGGAGGGACAGGAAGGAAGTAGGCCTGGGCCCTGGCTGCCTCGTCCTCTTTTTCCAAGAAGAGACCAGTCTGAGCTGGAGGAGGGCACCTGCCCGGCCTGCCAGAGGGCAGCCTGGAGTCACCTGGGCGAGGTGCTCTGTCTGGGCCTGGCGTCCACAGCAGAAGCCCAGGGTCTGGGGCCTGGGCTGGAGCAGGCCGACGAAGCAAGGGGCGGAGGAGGCCAGCCGCCACCGAGGCCTCGGGGCGGGTCCCTACCTCTGCCGGACGTCCTTATCTGGGCCACACGGGGGTCAGCTTTGTCTGGAGAGCCCAGGGGCCAGGCGCCGGCGAGGCTGAGGAAGGTCCAGCAAGAGCAAGAGTCTGAGGCGGAGGAGGAGGAGGCAAGCGCCAATGCGGGAGCCCTGAGGGCAGACAGACCCGACCAAGGGGCGTGAAGGACTCAGCCATAGACGGCCTGGCCTGGCAGGGGCCGGCGGACGGGGCAAAGGGCAGGCCCGCGGCTGCCATGGCCCACAGGGGCTGCCGTCTCTCCTGGGCGTGGCGACAGCTTCCTGGTAGCTAGATGGGGCGGCACGGGCGCCTTGGACCTTGAGTCTCTGATGAGCTGGCACCCTCCCTCGGGGGCATCCGGCCCCTACTGCACCTTGGGGCTTGTGCGCCGAGTGACCTAGCGCTGGTGCTTCTGGGCAACGGTGCCGAGCAGTGTCGGGTCTTGGGCCAAAGACTCCAGCGGTCGCCAGGCGGCCGCAGAGGGGTAGGGGATGAGCCAGACCTTGGGAGCTGGGCCTGGCAGGAAGCAGGGGCCATGCATGGCCGAGCAGGTGTGGCTCCCACGGGCAGCCAGGGTGTGGCACAGCGGCAGAGCTAGGATGCTCTCCTGGCGTGGCCCTGCAGTAGGCAGAGATGGGGAGCTGGTTACCTTTCCAACATGCGGTCTCGCTGTCGTTTCTTCTGCTTGTCCTGGCTCTTCTTGCCTGCTTGCAGCTTGCGCTTGGCCTGACCATTCTCATCCTGGCCAGTCAGGGCCCCTGTGGGAGCAAAGGACGCCATGACCACCTGAATATAGCACTTGGGAACAAAGGTATGCTACCACACCATGCCATCTGCACAAAGTACTCATGTGGGCAGAATGTAGACTGACTACTAAGTCCTGCTGCCTTTTACCACTTAGGAGTGTCACAGCTCTCAACCCGTCATGAGACTGTGACAAGGGAGAAGATCCATACACTAGAGTTGGATGAACTGCACTGGGGTCCCAGTTCGAATCCCAGCCACGGACAACTTGCAATTGTGAGTTACTAAGGGGTCTGAGGATGTGCCTGGGGTCCCCATGTTTTTTGCTTGCTGCCCCCACTTCCCACCGGAGACAACAACCAGTGTGCTAGGGAAGGAAGGGCCATGACACCATTCTGCATGAGATGATTAGAGGTTAGCGTAGAAAGGAAGGAAGGAAGCAAAGAAAAGGAAAAAGAAGAACAGAAGGCACGCATGGCCCCCTGGGAATTGCATGGCCCCCTGGGAATTGCCCGGCAGCTGTGCTCCTACCTCAACGATGCCCACCTGGATCTTCCCCATGAGCACCCAGATCACTGGCCCGCTCACCAGACTCACCTGAATCCTCTTTGCTATCTTCCTTCCCATCCTCTTTGCCTTCCTCATCTTCTCCTTCCTAGCAGTTTTGAAAACAATGGTTTTCAAAACAATTGTAGAAAATGTGTGGTCATTTCCAAGGAAAAAAAAGAGCTCTGATGGGCCAGAGGCACTCAGCCTCCCTAGAACCCAGACAGGGCTCACCCTCTATCTGTGAGGACAGGAGTTCTGGCTGTCCACACCTACATGCCTCTGAGCAGGCAGTTCTTCCCTCTCACCCTGGATGCCCTGTTCAGGGGAGTTCAGAGCAACCTCCCCAGGACTCTGAGAGCAAAACCCAGGTCAAAGCACTTACCACCCTGGAGCTCTTCTCCACGGCCTCGGAGCCGTCGGCAGTCTCAGTTGTCTCTCCCTCAGTGCCCTCATCTGGAAGGGGAGAGTAGATGAGCCTGGTCCAGGGCCTGCAGGAAAGGGGCACTGAGGCCGCCTGTCCACCCACCCGCTCACCATTGTCAGAGTCACTGTTGTCTGAGCCGTCCGTCCTGGATGCCTTGCTATCAGGCTCATCGGGGCTGCCTAGCTGCTTCCTCTTCTTCTTCTTGGTCTGTGTCGGGAAGAGGGAGCTGGTCAGTGCCGAAGGGTGTCAGTGCTAGGGGTGGGTATGATAGAGATGACCCCACGTGCCACCCCACTCACCCGGAAGTCAGCAGGGGTCCAGGTCTTCCAGGTGCGCCGCATCTGCTTCATGCCGTTGCCAAAGCCAAAGCCAAAGCGAGAGCCGCCCGGGAAGGAGCTGCCTGGGAAGGAGCCACCCGGGAAGGCACCCCCACCGCGTGCGCCCTGGAACATGCCGTACTCGGGGAGAATGTTCTGAGAGAAGAGGGAGGGCAGCCGGGGGGCTCCTGGCAAACACTGGCCCCGGGCTCCCATGGGTTCTTCCCACATGCGCCCGTAGCCTGAGGCCACTGGGCGGCCACCACGGGCATCACGGGCCCAGCCCTGTGCCCGAGGACCAAAGGTATCACCACCGCGCATGCGGAACTGGTCACGGTAGGTGTCATACTGGCCCTCATAGGCCATCTCCATTTCAGGGTCAAGCTCGCCGTAGTCATAGCCTGACCGGTACAGGTCGCGCTCGCTCAGCATGGCCCTTGAGTCGCAGGCCTCATAGGAGTCATACCTGCAGAGTCATGTGTGGCCATCATTAGGGGGCCAGCCTACTGCCCCTGCCCTTCCCAAGCCTCCTGTCCAGATAAAACCCAGCTCAAGTACTAATCCCACTGCAGGGCCACACTCAGAAACACAAGTTTATGGGCTTCAGTTTCTCAATTCTGGCAGCAGGTAGAGACCTGCTGTCCAATGCCTGAAGGTAGTCATATACCAGTTTAGGAGCCCTTCAGAAGGACTGCTGACCAGAGCCAGGATTCCAGCCACCATCATCCGCTGCCTTGTGGACACATGCATGTGCCCAGACCCATAGTGTTGAAAGCAACTGTTGGCCCTTTGGGGACACACCGAGTCCTTAGAGAGCTTTCGGCAGGTAGGCATGCCAGAAGACATCCACTGAGGTTAAGATGCTCAGGACAAACACCTTGTGGGTCTGCCTTGGCCCTTGGGGCCAGGGAAGCAGTAATCATAGGCCAATCCCAGTCCACAGCCCCTCACTACCACTACAAGGAGAGAGACAAAATGAGGAGCATGGCCCAGGGAAGATCTCATAGGTATACCAGTGACAAAAAAGTGGTCTGTGAGGTATCGACTCTGGAGCCCATGACAGGGCATTTAGACCCAGGAGGCTATGAGGTAGGCAAACAAAACCTGCCCAGGAGGGGAAAAAAACAACACAAAAACTAACCAAAGAATACAAAAACCAAAAACCCACAAACCTGCCCAGAAGAGGGAAGCCACCAGCTGCCAATCCTACCACAGGCACTCAAGAGAATGCAGGATAGCTCATCCTCTTGGGGTCCCTCCCTGACATGGTTCCCATCGGGCAGTAAGGAGGTAAGAAAAGACAGGGCACCTGGGGGGAGATCCAGTATGGCTCCAGTCCAAGTCCCCACTCTCCCGTAGGCTTTGACTAGTAGTGGAGGATCAGCTCTCCCACACCATAGAACCTTAGCCAGACAGAGCCCACACGACCACTGAGCCAGTCCTTCCTGTTTCGGCCCATGTGCCCAGACCGCAGAGTGGAGCTACAGAACCTAAAGAGGTCAGCTGTCATGGCCCTGGAGGCTTTACTTGGCCCTACCAATACCAGGCAAGCCACTCATTCCCTGCTAGTTGGAGAGCATCAGGGTACTCCATGGCAGCCTATGGGGAAAATACATTCCCTCCTCCCCAGAGACCTTGCTGGGGACAAGAGCATTCCTGGGCAGTAAAAGCTGACTTTGTTTTACAATGAGTTGGTGAGTAACAACACAGACTGAATGTATAAGCCCCAGACACTCCACATACACTGGTGACCACTCTATACTTCAGGGTCCTCATCTGCGTAATTAAGAACCACCATGCCCCTCCCAGAGGTCTTCTCAAGGACTCAGAAGGCCTGTGTCCCTCAAGGGACCCCAGTGCCCTCAAGAAGCACTGATATTAGTCCCAGCCTTTTAAGTGAGCACTCAGCTCACTGTGGCACACTTTGAGGGCTTCATCCCACCTTGACATCAAAGAAGATGCAAGGTCTTATGGAGCACTCCTGATGTTGCTTCCAGAGACAGAGATCCCTCAATCAGCCGCCTGTGAAAGCCTGGAGAGCTCACCCAAGGGTGCACTGAGACCCACTGAAGTCTGCAGGGAAAAATCCTGAGACCCAAGCCAGCCAGCCCAGCCTGAGCTCCTTCATACCCTGTCAAGAAGGGCCCCTACACTGATAGCAAGGGCATGCTATCAGGAAGGGGAACATCAGGGGAGCAGAGAGTAGCAGGGCTCAGCAGGGGGAGCAGCACTGCAAGCTAGGAGGAAGAGGCATGCTCACAAAGGAAGGCACAGAGGACAAGGCAGGATGTGCCTCCCTTGTGGGGACCTTGGGTCTAGTCAGGAGCCCCACTCACCTTTCTCCTCCTGAGCCATACATGCCTCCTTGCATCATGTCTGTCTCCATGTGTGACACCATGTCTAAGCGCTGGTTAATTTTGGATAAAACGGAATCGGCACTGGTGCTACCTGAGGCATTAGGGTTTGCATTTGCGTCAGAGGTAGGCATTTCCCATGAATTTGAAGTGGCCATACCATACCCATAGTTGTTGGTGTTCTCCTGGCCATAGCCATAGCCATAACCATAGTTCTCATAACCTACAACAGGGAGACAGACAAAGAGACAAACACAGAGAGAAGCACCTTCTGTTACGGAGACGAGCTGGGAATCCTGGTCACCCATGCTTGCATGGGCCTTAGCCAATTGAATGAGGACCAGTTGTAATGGGGGAGGAAGAACCAGAACATCCTGGGACACCATCCCACCTTGGCCAAGCTGGGCAGTGGCAGAGAAAAAGAATCGACAACATGGAAGTGATACTTGCCTCTGTTTGCCCCAGAGTTCCAAGTTCCATATCCTGCAAAAAGCAAAAAGGTAGGTATGCTTAAACTGCTCACCACGGACGAGAATGCCCGCTTGCAGTCCCTAAGTGGCCTCAGGAGACACAACTATGCCAACTAAAGAACCCTGCACTTGAAATATTGCATCTGACTTGGGCTATTGGCTGTCCAACAGCACCTGGTCCACACACAGCCTTCTGTGGCTCTGATTTTGCTGCTATTCAAGGAGCCTCCAATTTGCAATGATTGTAACTAACTGATGAGGTTCCTACATGTGCCTCCCTTAAAAGACTAGAATTAGAAAATAAATGGAGGTGGAAAATGATCCTACATGGTACAAACAGCTTAGTATACAACTCACATCAATTCTGATATCCAAATCATCCACAAAAGGTGTGCAGAACAGAAAAAGAAGCCCTCTAGACCTTTAAAGGCCCACCATGACAGATGGCCAACAGTGGGGTGGTGGTATGTGTGTTATGCTGGAGCAAATGAACAAGAAAAAACAGAATTATCTCCCAGTTCAAGAAATGTTACAGGGAAAGCCATCTAGATTCCAAGCCATCTAGATTTAACATGCTCTAGGGTTTACCAAAGCACATGGTAAGTGTACCCTCTGAGCAACACAAAGCCACAGAGAACTGACACTGCCCAAGCCATGGGGAACCATGCTGATCAGCTGTGGTTTCTGTCCAGAGGAGTTCCTGAGGACAGTGCCAGACTCCCTGTGTTCTGGCTAGGAATAGTCAACTGTCCTACCTGCAGGATTGGGTGATACATGAGAGCGGAGGATACAGCTTGGTGAAGCAGAATGATCAACGGCAAGCTCAAGAATGAAGACGAGCAAGAGCACAGATGTGGAGAGATGCACACTGGACCTCACAATCCAGCCTATACCTGGGACAGGCAGGCACAGAAGAACCAACCAGACACTTGTGATAACTTCTACCGCCAGGGAACCATAGGATAGTGCTCACAAAACTCCTTCCAGGGATGACAGCCAAAATGAAAGTCTCATCTTTAGTCTCTCCCTTCTCTGCATGCACTGAGCAGAGGTGCTGTTGAAGGGGACACCAACACCAACTGCAGGAGGGATAGCCAGGAGCTACCCACAGGACAGAAGGGAGACAGTGCGATGTCACAGGACTGAAGGGAGACAGTGCAATGTCACAGGACTGAAGGGAGATAGTGTGAGGTCAAGAGGTATACAAAGTAACAATGAATTAACCCTCAGGAGGTGAACAGAGCCTGCCTATAGGGTTGTCAGATTTAGGATGGGGATGAGGTGGAAGAGGAGGAAGCAGTGGACAGGATACTAGCCATTCATAAGGAGACAGGTCTGAGAGGGAAGAATCTGATCACTCAAACTCAGGCTCTCAGTGCACTGTGTCCACCACAACCGTGGATTAGGAGAAGTAAGAATGGGTATTAACAATGTAAAGGAGGAGAGGCAGGAAGCCTCATGTTACAAGGTGCTGCTAAGAATTCAGCAGGCCTGTGCTGTGTGGTCCTATGCAACCGAGACTACTGATGGGCTCCCCAGGAAGTCGCTTGAAGAGGAAGTTCTTCTTCAGACCTTGGCATCTGGGAACTTAGAATCATCTAAATTTATACTATTATAGGGGATGAGACCTTGAGTGAATTTTTTTTTTTTTAAATTTTTGTTTGTGTACTGTCAAATTGGATCTGACTAGTATGGGAGGAGATTGTCCCTCATTCTCCAGCAGAGCCTCTGGGATGGCAGTGCAGCTTCTTGCCACTAGGTCACCAGAGCTCCCCAAGACCTTGGGGGAATTTTAAGGACATAATTAGAAAGGAAGGAGAAACAAGAAGGGGAGTAGAGAGGAAGAGAAGGGAGAAAAAAAGATTATAACAAGATGATCCCTGTGAGCAATATTTAAAGAGCAAAACTAGAAAATCTAGAAGTTTAATTTTAAAGTAATGATTAATCAGATTATGCTATCTGCTCAGTGAGATCTGGTAAGCATTAAATCTATGACACAGCAAATGATTCTAACATTAAGCGAGGTAGTACAAGATAAAGAAATTTATAGATGAATAGAATTAACAACCTACAACACGCATGTTGATAAAGATGAAATAATAAAATGGTGGGATTCTGGCTGACTCGTTCCTTTTTACAATTTGTTATTTAAATTCACCGTATTGCTCAACCATACTTACTCATCAATTTGGACGCTGAGCAAATAATCAGAGAAGCTGGACTACAGGAAGAATAATGTGACATCAGGACTGGAGAAAAACTCATTTAACAACCTCTGATACGCCTTGCCTGCAGAAAACAAAGTTTTCTAAAAAATTGAAAGACTTACTGATTAAGTTCAAATACCAAAGTCATCAGTATGGCTAGTTCAACATAAAAGAAACAAAAATCCTCACAACTTGACCAGTAAACAACATCATCATAACAACAACAACAACAACAACAACAACAACAACAACAACAACAGAAAAGACTGAAGTTGTTAAGGACACCAGTTTCCTGGGATCCATAGAGAACACACTGGGAAGTAGCAGTCAAGAAATCAAATGACATACTGCACTGGGAAAATCTGCTTTCAAGTACTTCTTTAAAGGTATAAAGAGAAAGGATATCATTTTGAAGATGACAACGCACCTGACCCATGCCATGTCGTCACTGCTATGTACTGTCAAACTGGAACTTGACAGGTTTTCAGAGGTAGTAAATCAAATGGGAAAAGACTGCCCATAACTTCCCCATGGATTTGAACTTTGAGCCTTTATGTTGGCAGCTCAACTCCTTATCATTAAGGCACCAGAGCTCCCTGTTCAATTATTTCATATGCATATGAAAAGTTGGACAATGAAAAGGAAAACTGAATTATTGATGACTTTGAATTAGTGTTGACAAAGAATATGGTCCCTATCATGGACTCTATCAAAAGAACAAATCTGCCCTGAAAGAAATGCAGCCACAGTGCTTCTTAGAAAAAGGATGGTGAGGTTTCATGTCTAATACTTTGGGCATAATATCAGGAAAGGCCTGTCTCTGAGTGAAAGATAGCATAATTAGAAATATGGAGAATTAATGAAACAAAGGAAGGCCCTTAAGAAGATGGACTTCAAAGAGTGCTACAACAGTAGCCTCAAGCACAACAAAGATTGTGAAGTTGGCACAGGATTAGGCAGGGTTTAGTTTTCTTGTACAAAGATGGCACCAAACAATAATGTTGTTTTTGTCATGTAACATCAAGTTGGAGCCTACCCATAGCTGACCCTCCAGCTGATTTTCAGAGGGAGTAAATTACACAGGAGGAGACTGCCCATCCTCTTCCAGTTGAAGAGCTGGTAAATTCAAACAATGGGCCTTTGGGATTGCAGCACAGCTTCTTTTTGAGTAACAATAATGCTCAAGTAAAAGGTTTCTTATTTTTGACAAAAGAGCTGTGGGGTCATAGTGAGTAACAAGTTGAGTGCTAAGCAAAAAGTTGCCCGTTCAAATCCACTAGCTAGGGAGTTCTGGGAGCTTAGTGCTATGGAGTCAGTGTGAATGAGAAGTGACCTGACAGCAGTAATTCTTTGACATGACTGGCTAGAAAATGTCAAAATACAAACAACAACAAATAAAACCTGCTGGAGGGTCAGCTATGGGTCAGTTCTGACGGACAGTACATAACAACACTTTAGCAATATTTATTACAAAGTCAATTATGAAGTGACTGGTTCTTGAGCGCTGGATCATACTCTAGGCTATTGAGGCTAATGAGCTGATTAGATCTTATAAGACCAAGGACTATCTAGGTTAAGATAAGGTCCAAGATTAAGATCCAAGAACTGCAAACAACATATTGATTAGCTTCAGGAGGCAGGATGTATTCTAACATGGCCATGTGGTGAAGCCAATGAGAACCTGAAATCCTAAAGCTCAGGCGGGCCTCCTGGTTAGCAAAAATATTGCTCTCAGGAAGGCATTCATGTCCCTGGGGACTTGGGAGCTCCACACCAAAAAGGTTCCCAGACTACATCCTACACATCTCTTTATCTGTATGTCTTTTAGTTGTAATAAATCTGTAGCTGTAAGGAATAAACTCTCCATGAAATCCTGGTTGGGTAGCTAGTGATGAGAATAGACAAGTGGGAAGGGAGAACTGGATCCACCTCCACTAACTGGAGATTGGCTTACTCACCCATTTTGTCCCTTAATGCAATCAATATCTTAAAAATAAAATTTCTGCTTCTTAGAAATGGAAAAATAAAATTTTAAAAGCACTCTTTACAAGAGCACTAAAAAGATGAAATATTTTTAAATGAAATACAAAATACATTTACAATATCTTCTTTGGAAAGTATACACTATTTTGAGAACCCTGATATTAGCCTCTCTCAATCACTGTCCCTCAACCCAGCCACCCTACTTCCAGTAAGCTGCCCTGAGAAGATATGAGCTCTTTACTCCCCCCCTTATCTGACTAGCCCATCCCTAATCCAGCCCATTCTGTTTGTTGACAACAGCTCTTGTGTGACCTCTGAAGTTTACTGTCAGGCAGCCTATGCTGTAGTTTCCATAAACAGTGTGGAAAGCAGCAACTTCCTATTGCCTTAGCCCATATCCATGCAACACTATGCTCACCATCCTTTCTGCTGAACCATACCTACCCATGGAAACCCCTGTTTTAGCATCATATATTCCTCATCTCTCCCTCATTAGGAATTACTCAGGGAACATGCAGGCTGCTGCATACCCAGACCCTCCCCTGATAGTGTAGACCAGACAGCTAGAGTCACCCCAGGAGAAGCCATCCTCATCAAACAGCATGCATCCAAACCTCTTCAGCCACACTAAGATAGACCTAACACAGTAATTCTAACTACTCCCACTAAGCAGACTTCCTAAATCTCTCAACTAGTAGACCCCACTGCTCTTCACCTCACTCTGATCCCAAGCCCTAAGTAGCTCTTCGTATTGTTATTACTCTCTCCCTGCCTTTTTGAATTCTTACTTCACAGGATAAGAGAAATGACCAACTTGAACCAGCTGCTGTGACATCCATATTCTCCTCTGGCTACTGGTCCTGGGCTATCCATCCCAATCCAGAGCCCCAGATCTTTGCCACTGTTCAGCAGAAAGTAACTAGAAAAGATACATTCCTCTTTTACTCACTAAAGAGGCTGGGATGTCCTGCCCAGGCCAAGGTCAAAGGAGAAGAATGAAGGATACAAAGAATACCAACATGTCAACAAAGGGAGTGATCAGCCTCGCCCACCTGGCTTACACCAATGTCCCTCCCTAAAGATCCCTACTATAAAAACCTGCCCGAATCCATCTTAGGGTGCAGTTTTCCCCTGGTCTGTCTCTCTCTTCAGAGCAAGGAATCCCACCGAGGAGCCTCCTTAATAAAGCTTCTTTAGCTTAAAAAAAAAAAAAAAAGGAAGAAGAAGAATTATACACTAAAGAAAGGAATAAAATTCTAACTAAATGGTTAGTGTTGTTGTCTCAACACTGTTCAGATGCCAATTCCTTCAAGCTAAGATCTTGTTCAGAAAATAGGCAAACTCCTCCCGCTGGAAAGCAAGTTATGAGTGGCACATAACAACAACACAGTTAAGAAAGATACAGTGATACTAGAGAAATTCAGACAAAAGGACCAATAGAGTAGAATCTGAGTCCAGAACCAGGCCCACACATACATGGTTAACTGATTGCTAGGCTTCATCATTACAAAGAATATCTGTCCTTTAACAAATAACTAATTTAAAAAAATAAAGACAAGCCAAACATAGGGAAAAATATTTTTGAATCCAGAATATATAAGCCACAGGAAAAAGCTTTTTTAAAAAAAAGGACAAGCATTTGGAACTATGTTTGATTAAAATGGGGCAGGAAGGTGAGTCACGCCTGTTGACTCAGCAAATCCTTCACTGGGTTGCTGAGGCTGTATATTTTTATGAGAAGAGATGACAGAGAAGATGGCAGATTTGAACCACTCACCTCTCTGTCTCCATCGCAACATGTAATGAACTATACCATTAGGCTCCTTAGAATATATAAATCAGAGAAAAAGAAATTAAAAAAGACTGACAAATTGGGATTATATTTGACTGAAATGTGGAGGTGGGGGAACATGTAATATTTCTTCTCTTTTATGAACTCCTCAATCCTTTCTTTCTCTGGATTTAAAGCTATAGTAAATACCTACCTGCATCTGAATTCTAGGACAGGTGAAGTTCCTCCTCAGCTAGGATTACCTGATAGTACTCTAGGGGGCTGATTTACTCTAGCTTTGTATTCATGTAAGTCATGGTCTTTTTGATTACTTGCTATGCATCTGAAAGTTGGGCAATTACTATAAAGAGGACAGAAGAATTGATGCCTTTGAGTTGTGGTGTTGGAAAAGAGTATTAAATATCCCATGAACTGCCAAAAGCACAAAGAAGTCTGTTTTGGAGAAAGTGGGAACTGGGTGCTTCCTGGAGACAAAGGTGGCAAAATTTAGTCTCACATATTTTGTGTATATTATTAGGAGGGGCAAGTCCTTGGAGAAGTATATCATGCTTGGGTAGATGGAGGGTCAGCATAAGAGGAAAACCCTCAACAAGATGGACTGACATGGTGACTGTAACAATGGGCTCAAGTTTATCAATCAGATGGTGAGGACTGCCCAAGATAGGGCAAGATTCACATCTGCTATTCATATGGTACTTATGAGAGCACATTTATGACTCTTGAGGGCTTTTCACCTGTGTAAGCTAAATCCTTCTAAAGCCCTTGTCGAAAAAAATTCATTAGTATCACATGCAAGCAAGATTCTGCTGAAAATTATCCAAAAACGACTGGAGCACTATGTTAACAGAGAACTGCCAGATGTGCAGGCTGGGTTTAGAAGAAGCCGTGGTACTGGGGATATTATAGCTAATGGATCTAGGCAGAAAGCAGAGAGTACCAGAGGAATGTCTATCTGTGTTTCATTGACTATGCAAAGGCTTTTTTGACACTGTGGATCACAATAAACTGTGGCTGACTCTGAGAAGAATGGGAATCCCAGAACATTTGATTATGCTTACGAGAAATCTATACTTGGACCAAGAGGCAGTTGTCAGAACAGAGCAAGGAGACACTGCATAGTTCAAAATTGGGAAGGGTGTACGCCAGGCATATACTCTGTCTCCATACATTTTCAATCTGTATGCAGAATAAATCATCCGGGACGCTCGTTGTACAAAGAGGAATGTGGCATCAGGATTGATGGAAGATTCATCAATAACCTGTGTTATGCAGATGACACAACTCTGCTTGCTGAAACTGAGAAGGACCTGAAGCACTTGCTGTGGAGGATCAAGGACTACAGCCTTCAATATGGATTGAAGCTTAACATCAAGAAAACAAAGATTCTCACCACTGGGCCAACTGGCAGCATCATTATGGATGGTGAAAAGACTGAGATTGCTAACAGTTTTAGTTTGCTTGGCTCCACAATCAACTCTCTTGGTACCAGCAGCAAGGAAATCAAGGGATGAATTGCACTGGGCAAGTCAACTGTCAGGAACCTCTCCAGAGTACTGAAGAGTAATGATGTTAGGCTGGAGACTAAAGTGCACCTGATCCAGGCCATAGTCTTCACAACTGTGTGCTATGCATCAGAGAACTGCACAATGACTAGGGATGACAGAAAGAGAATTGATGCCTTTGAGCTGTGGTACTGGAGAAGAGTGTTGAATATACCATGAACCGCTAGGAGAACAGACAGGTTTGTCCTGGAGAAGGTGAAGCTGGGCTGTTCCTTGGAGGCAAGGATTCTGAAGCTTCGTTTGACATACTTTGGGTATGTTGCAAGGAGGGACTAGTCCTTGGAGAAGGACATCATATTTGGGAGGGTGGGGGGACAAGTGCAAGAGAGGAAAACTCTTGATGAAGTGATCGATTCAGTGATTGGGGTTAATGGAAGTAGATGTGTTAAGAGACAGTGAGGCTGGCACAGGACAGAGCAGGGTTTAGGGCTCTTGTACATTGGGTTGCTATAAGTTGCAAGTGACTTGACGGCACCTAATAACAACAACATCACAGGAACCAAGGCATGGCTCTTAGTAATCCCTTTATGGAATCAGAGGCTTGAAACCCTGGAAAGACCCACCTTGTCTGATACAATTCAAGTTTGATACAATAAGGCCAGGTCTGCAGGCCCCAGGAGTGTTTAATTCTAAATGATTCACTTAGTGTCTAATTAGCCTTAAGAAATTGGAAAGGTCTATTCCACCTTTGTGGGAGGTCAGGAAGTATCCCTAATCTTACCTGGGCATCCTTAGAGCAGAGCACCTGTGGCTAAGTTAAGAGCTTATTTTCTGCTTAGGCCAAAACTCTGGACTCAACTGGGAGTGCTTCCTCCCTAGCTTATCAAATGGGATTTTCTGAAGCTGGACATTTATTTCCCTAGGTTTATTAAAAAAATGTGAAAGGGTCAAAGGATTGAATCATGTCTAGCCCTAAGAACTGCTTACTCAACAAGCAGCTTCAGACATATTTAACTTTCCCCAGGAAGGCAATGGCGGGGCTAGGAAGATGAGACACACTCCCCATCTAGTTCCCACCAGAGATAACTTACCATAATCGCAGGTGGGCTGAGCGCTGGTGTCTGTATATGTCGACTGCAAAGTGGTTTCAGATCCCTGGACAAAGCCTAAACATATGCACAGAATAATTAATGCCCTTAACAGCCAGAAAGATGCAGACTACCCAACCCTACTGGGAAAACCAGCCATTAAAACTCAACTCCTAATAATAAAATGATTATTCCACAACATTTCAAAATAAACCTGTGCTCCACAGGGTTTTCTTGGCTGTAATCTTTAGGGAAACAGATCACCAGCTCTGCTGGGTGGGTTCAAATCAATGCCAAATCCAAACCATTGCTCTTGACTCAATTCTGAGTCAATGCAACTCATGGACAGAATAGAATTACTCCAGTGGTTCCCAAGGCTGTAATTATCCCTCCTCCACCAAGTTTTCAAGGTTTTAATTTTCACGGAAGCATACTGGCATTTTATTTCTCCTTCAGGGTTCAAATCACCAATCACTAATTTCCACTGTAGTTAAGTCAATTTTCATACATAGTTATCCTTTATCGGTTTCCTAGGCCATAAATCTTTACGGGAAGACTGTTCATCTTCCTCCTGCAGTACAGCTAGTAGATTTGAACCAGCAATATTTTGGTTAGCAGTACAACATGTTACAAGCAGTACAACATGTTACATACTACACTCCAGAGCTCCTTAATCATTAATTATCCCTCCAAAATACATCAACTAAGGGAAAGAGAGACTACTCTTAACTTCCTACATTACCCAACCCAAACAAATCCTCTTCTGGTAAGACAATTCCAACCCATGGTAACCCCATGTTCCAGAGCTTTAGCTTTACTTGTGCAGTTTACCAATTTTTTTTTCCTGAGAGTCACAGGATGGATGGGTCTGAATCACTAACTTATAGGTTAGTATTTGATCACAAACTATTTGTACCACCCAGGGACATTTTTGCTATGTTGTTGTTATGTACCATCAAGTTGGTTGTGACTCATAGCGACCCTATGTACAACAGTCCTGAACCCAGCTCTATCCTGTGTCAATCTTATTGTCTCTGACACACCTACCCCCATTATCCCAGTCACTGAATCTATCCATCTCATTGAGGGTCTTCCTCTCTTGCGCTGTCCCTCCACTCTCCCAAACATGCAACATGCCTGAAATATGTCAGACAAAGCCTCAGGATCCTTTCCTCCAAGAAGCAGCCATATTTCACCATCTCTAGGACAAACGTGTTTGTTCCTGGCAGTTCAAGGTATATGCAATACTCTTCTCCAGCATCACAGCTCAAAGCCATCAATTTTCATTCTATCATCCCTAGTCACTGTCCAACTTACAAGTAATTGTGAAGACCATAGCCTGGATCAGGCACACCTTAGTCTCGAGACTGACACCATTGCTCTTCAGTACTCTGGAGAAATCCCTGACAGCAGACTTTCCCAATATCAGATGTTATAAATTTCTTAAACATTGTAAATTAGTTATCTATTTCAATAAATGAGTATCCAAATTACCATTCTACCAAGTGCGGCAAATACTTCTTTCAACAAGAAGTCAATCCCTCTTGTGCAAATAAGGAAAGAGGTTAATTTTTAAAACCATGTTATTAAGGCAAAGAACACATTTTTCTCCTCTCCTAAATCTGTCCCCTCCCTTTTTTTGGACATTGTCTTATTTTTTAAAAAGTGTGTGTTACATTATTTCTTAAGATTAACTACTTACTATTGGCATGCTTATAAGGCAAAGGAAAAGACTATATTTAATGTAATAATTATATTTACAATTTTTTCAGCTCTTAAACTGAGAAACTTTACTTAAAGGGATTTGATTCCAAGGAAGAGAAACTTCAGTCTATGAAAAACTGCTGCTGATGGTATCATAGATGAGAAGGGATGGGAATAGAAAAGGAGTAAAAATGAATAAAACAGCTCAGTTATATAAAAGGAAAGGCAAACCCAATAATAAGTTGTTAATATTGTAATTAATTAGTTACATTAATCAGTAGAAATTAATACATGAATGACAGTATGGAAAAACAATGTTTTTCAAATCTTTATTCAAATACATTTAAAAAATTGTTATAAAAGGTGTATGATTCAACAAAGACATTCAGATGGCAAACAAATACATGGAGAAATATTCAAAATCCCTAGCTCTAAGAGAGATGCAAATCAAAACAACTATGAGATATAATCTCACCCCAGTAAGAAGAGCAAAATTTAACAGAACAGCAAGCAACAAATGCTGGTGAGGTTGTGGAAAACAGGAACCCTTACTCACTGTTGGTGGGAATGTGAAATGGTGCAACCACTGTGGAAAGTGGTATGGCGCTTTCTCAAAAAGTTGCAAATAGAGATACCATTTGACCCAGCAATTCCACTACTGGGAATATACCCCAAAGAAATAATAACTGCCACCCAAGCAGATACATGCACACCCATGTTTATCACGGCTTTGTTCACAATAGCAAGGAATTGGAAACAACCTAAGTGCCCATCAACAAATGAATGGATAGAGAAGCTCTGGTATACTATGGTATACACAATGGAATACTATGCTGCATTGAAAAACAAGGAACTCATGAAATATTATTCAAAATGGGTGATCCTGGAGGACATTATGCTGAGTGAAATATCTCAGTCACAAAAGGACAAATACTGCATAGCATCACTGCTGTAAAACGGGGCTGGCATCGTGGTTGGGGGGAGAATGAGAAAGATGGGATGAATAATATATATACTACATTGAAACAGATGAGGGAGAAAACTGTTTAAAAGGGATATATGATTTGGTATTATTGTCATGACAGGAGTCCAAAGCGAAGGCTGCACAGTGGAGTGGACCTAGGGGGAGGGATTGTATAACAATGAAAGAATTTTTCTCTTACTTTTCAAAGAGAAGAGTATACTGGGGGGAGGGGTGGGCAGAGAGAAATGTGCAACAATGAATGTATGGAAATCCAAAGTCTCTGTAAATTTTCATTAAAATTAATAATAATAATAATAATAATAATAATAAAGTTGGGAAGAGGAAAAAATGTGTATGAATAACTAAATGAAATTGTAATTACAATATTATAAAACAAAAACTGCTGCTGTTAAACACTAGTAGTGATTAAGTACTCAAAAATTTTCCTATTAATCACTGACACTTGCTTTAAAACATCATTTTAAGACATTACTTTTCAGGGGAGCTCTGGTGGCCTAGTAGTAAGGAGCTGCAACTACAATCCCAGAGGCACACGGTTCGAATCCACCAGATGCTCTGCCGGGGAAGGAGAGACAATCTCCTCTTGTACCAGTCAGATCTGATTTGATGGTACACTCACACAAAAATAGTAAAATAAAAAAAAAAGACATTACTTTTCAAAACAACTATGAAATATGATTATCATCTCACCCCAGTCAGAATAGCAAAATTTAACAGAACAGCAAGCAGCCAATGCTGGCGAGGTTGTGGAAAAACTGGAATCCTTATTCACTGTTGGTGGAAGTGTAAAATGGTGCAACCACTGTGAAAGGCAGTGTGGTGCTTTCTCAAAAAGTAGCAAATAGAAATACCATTTGACCCAACAATTCCACTACTGGGAATATACCCCAAAGAGACTGTAACTGCCACCCAAGCAGATATAGGCACACCCATGTTTATCGCGGCTTTGTTCACAATAGCAAAGAGCTGGAAACAATCCAAGCGCCCATCAACAAATGAATGGATAGAGAAGCTCTGGTATAGTCACACAACGGAATACTATGTAGCACTGAAAAACAAGGAACTCATGCAATATTATTCAAAATGGGTGACTCTACAGGACATTATGCTGAGTGAAATAGCTCAGTCACAAAAGGACAAATATTGCATAGGGCCACTACGTAATACAGAACTGGTATTGGGGTTGAGGGAAGGCAGAGAAGACAGGGAGGAATAATGTATACTGCACTGCAACAGATGAGGCAGAGAACTGTTTAAAAGGGATATATGATTAGGTATTATTGTCCCGACAGGAGTCTTGAAGACTTTATAGTATAGTGGGCTTGGGGTGAGGGATTGCATAGCAATGAAAGAGTTTTTCTTTCACTCATCAAGGAGAAAAGTTAACTGGGGGGCGAGCAGGGATAAAACTGCATCAATGACTGGACACCCTAAGTCACTGTAAACTTTCATTAAAATGAATAATAATAAAAAAAGATATTACTTTTTAAAAATAACTTATGTACTGAAATGATGGATACCATGAGAGATAACATTCACCTACCCTAATAAGCAGTCAGCAGACTTTCCCAATGTAATTTGTCTTTTGATTTATTGGCTGCTGGTTTGCATTGGGAAAGCCTGCTATCAGGCACCTTTCAAGAGTATTAAAGAGCAATAATGTCAGTCTGTAGATTAAGGTGTGCCTGATCCAGGCCACAGTCTCCGCAATTACTTGCTATGCATCACAAGGATGGACAATGACTAGGGATGACAGAAAGAGAATTGATGACTTTGAGCTGTGATGCTGTAGAAGAGTATTGAATATACATACCATGGACTGTCAGAAGATCAAACAGGTCCGTTCTACAGATGGTGAAACCAGGCTGCTCCCTGGAGCCAAGGATTTTGAGGCTTCATGTGACATACTTGGTGCATGTTGCAAGGAGGGACCTGTCCTTGGCAAGGGACATCATGCTTGGAAAGGTGGAGGGATGGTGCAAGAGAAGACCCTTGATAAGATGGATTGATTCAGTGACTGGGGTAATGGGGGTGGGTGTGTCAGAGACAGTAAGGTTAGCACAGGATAGAGCAGGGTTCAGGACTATTGTACATAGGGTCACTACGAGTCGCAAGCTACTTGATGGCACATAACAACCCCCCTCCCCCAATCAGAGTCAACTCATGACCAGAAAACTAAAGCTAGAGCCTCCAGTAATGCATTTAGAAATTGTTCATTATCTTTGTTGCTCTTTCTAAATGGCTAGACACATAACGTGCCTCTCTTAGGTCCATGTTCCCCCTTTAAAAGCAGCCAACAATGCTGACAACGTCAGTCAACTCACTGACTCTGTCTGTTGGTCTCAGGCAGGGTACAGAAACTTGTATTGGCATTATGTTACCTCATCCT